ACTCTCTTAGGCTTGGGATTATCGCGATACAATTATCGTCGAGTGAGCCAAGCGTCTACTTGCTCATAATATAAGTGGATTATCGCGATACAATTATCGTCGATACTCCAACTATTCATTATCTATGTTACATATACATCTATCTGTCTGTATGGAGTGAGCCAAGCGTCTACTTGCTCACTCCTTTTCTAGCAGCGGAGCTAAGCCTGCTGCTCCAAGACAGACTTGGAATTTCAGCATTGACTGACAAGGACGGTGGACAGTGCAGCTTTCACAGTAGCGGGGGGAGATATAAGAGAGTGAGGGTGAGCTCCCGTTGAACTCCGGGTACCGTCACTGTTTAAAGGTCACTCGTAGGCGACCTTCTCGGAACCACTTATACAGGCGCTGGTATAGGGCTCAGCCCTACATACTGTGTTACCGAAAGGGAAAAGGCTGTTGTAGTAGCGCATGCTTCACTTTGAACGCAAGCTACACGTAGCACGCCCATGCTATAACTCCCAGAAACCACTCATACTATCGGCGGACTAACAGCGTCACATTGAGACATCCAGGACCGACACCCACCGGGTCAAGAAGCATCTTCCAAGCCTCGGTGTACTCCACGACAGGGCGCAACGACTCGGGCTACATGAGCGTAAGGCTTCTACTAGGTTGCGCTACGGTAACACATGTACTGCGCACACGCACGCACGCTGGTAGGCTAGCCGGGGCGGTAGAGCCTGACTGACTCGTGGCTGCTTATGTACACGACCGGTGGTCCGTGGTTAGTCGGAGCGCTCTGGGCACGAGGGGAGCGGGGCGGGACTTATAGTTAGTGACTTAGGGATGTCTCAGGTATAACGTCGACTCTACGCTATTGTAAGGGCACACGGGAAATCCATCGCGTCGCGCGCAAAGCGCTACGGGGTATACATGCCATTAGCAGCCCGCCCCGCACTCCTGTCCCGGGTCCATGCGCACATGTTGGTAGTACGCTCCAGCCACCCGCACACGGCTCGTCAGCGCATGTATTCGCTCGGCTGCTGGCACCGCATTACTCTCGGCAAAAGCAGGGCTACCACGTGACCTTTGCATACCATGACAGAAGACTCTGCCACGGCCTCTGCGCACCCCACGTAGAGCGTAGCCCCAAAACAGTCAGCTCGTCAGCCAGTATGGCGTCGCCAGTTCCTGGAATAGGTGCATGACACGGACCCTATTACGCTACCACACGAAACGGGACAGCTCTCCTTCGTCGGCTTTCTACCTTGGCTCTTACTTTCTTCGTTAATCTGGCCCAGCCCTTCCGAAGGGTTAAGCTTGCGCCTGGGTCGCGCCGTCACAGCTAGAAGATCTAGCCAGCAGCGTAGTGTAATATTGGCTCGACCGAGCGCTCCTCGTCTTTCTCCTGCTGCTCCCGCCTCTCAGTATGCTGCTTCGTCTGAGCTGAGAGGGAGACGTGATGCTTTCTGCATTTCTGTCGCCGAGCGCCTGTAGCCACGTCGACTGGCACGTTTGGATGCACGCGGTCGCGACGTAGCTCTCACGCCAAGGTCCACGCAGGCCGAACAAAATCCGGCATCTACCTGAAAAACTCGAAGGTCGTTTTAGGAAGGAGTTATCCCTGCGGAAGGCCTCCCCTCTACATATAGAGAAGAAGTTCCTAGGGCAAGTCCATCCGTCACGACTGCAGGTAGACCAGATTAAGGTCCAGCATAAAACGTCGCTCACGCGTTTATTAGGCTTACCTGAGGTCCAAACGGTGGCCACGCTTCCAGAGAAGCATCAACTGTGGGAAAGAGACATGCTTGGGTGCTCGCTGATACGCCTGAAACTTCGCGAGCTATAACGGCAAGAACAGCTCAAACTAGAAATCCTGCCCAAACCACCTTTACCCTGCCTGCGGGACGCCCTACCCCTGGAAGAGTACATGTAGTAATAGCGGCTCCAAAAATTAGAGAAGCTCGTAGCGGCGAGCGGTGACCCCTCGAACACGCGGACGCATCCGAAGGAGGTTGCAAAGCCCACATTGGTACGGCGAGCCCGACTCAAGTTGAGGCCGCCTGCGATCCTTTCGCTTGTACCGGAGGCACTGTAGCTGTAGCGGTAGATTCAGGCTAACCAGGAACAAAGGGAGGTCCTCCAGGAGCTCCTGGAACAGATCCAGACCCGGACTACCATGACGAGGCCCATGTCCAACTCCTCAGCCCAGCCCACGTCCAACACTTCCACGCGGCGCAAACCGAAAGTCCAGACGCTCTACGACCAGCACGAAGAGACATCGGAGTTACATTAGGCGCAACGCAGCGACACCACGCTGACAAGCGCGACTCGCGGCACATGGACGCTGTTTCGCACGCCCTCCGCACCTACCAGCAGAGCCGCAACCTCCACCAGGGTATCTAAAGGCTCTTGACTGCCGTCCGCCTCAGCCTGCACCCGCATGTCGGACGCCAGCCCACAGGCAGCAGTGTCCACGTCCGCCATACTGACCGCGTCCACAAACGAGATAAAAGTGGGCCCAGCCATACGCTGAGAACGCGCCGAGTCTAGCAGCTCTACCTTACCGGCACCTCTAGCTTAGGACTGGACACCGCCCCCGACAGCCGACGAGGACCAGCAGCGAGCTCAGCAGGCTGCTCGATACTGAGGGTGACAGTAGACCCGAGGGTGACTGGAGCACGAGCCTCAGACTGACTAGAGGTCTCAGGACTTCTTCCAGGAGGGTGACGCTAACGTTCCCTAGTACATGCAATAGGAGGACCACTCTTACAACTACACAGCTACACTGGGCAGAGCAGCTTCCACTGCACAGAGCTCCTCTTATGGAAAGCGCAGAAGTCTAACTTCTCTGCCATCCGAAAGTAGGGGTCACACATAGGGTCCTCATACGTGAACTGACGGAACGGGCTCTTGAATGACGCGGAAGCTGTTCGAATTGCCGATCCTGTCTCCCCTGATACCCACGATGCACGCGTGATATTTGGATATTATGCCTGCCCTTCTGAAACTGTCCTCATTCCTCTTCCACCACCCCACCTTATCCGGCTCCGCTTCCATACGCGATACAACCACCGCCGTAGGAACCGCGAGGTCGCAAAACGCCCTGAATATCTGGTAGTTCTCGACAGTACCCTCTACAATTCTGCCCTCAAAGCAGAATATCAGGAGGATCACACCTTTCTCCAGGCCACTGATGAGAGCGTTCACGCGTTTGACGGTATCGCGATCTTTGTGAGCTCCCTGGTCCAGCGCCGCAGTGTCCCAGAGAGTGACTGTGAAACCCTCTGCTAACTCGACGTCGTATGACTTGTTATCAGAAGTGCATATTGGACCATCAGACGAAGTCTGTGCAACGTCCTTGCCGGCTATCATGTTGATGAGGGAGCTCTTCCCGGCCCCTGCCTGTCCGAGCACGATGATAGTGGGGGGCTGCAATGTAACAGGTGAGCAACAACAACTTAGTTTGAGAGAACGTACGTACATCCATATCCCGGTTATTTGAGCTGGTTGGTGTTCCTACAATCTTGATTCTTTGGCGCAAATTCCGGGATATCAGGCACGGAGAAATTGATAGTTAAAGGGAAGATTGTGTTCGACAGTCAAGACGATCGGAGGGAGTCCAGGGAATTGGACAGGCGGTATACTCAGAGCCACCACGAGGCCAAGGTAAGGCTGGTCACCGTATTAACTAACGGCACACGCGCAGTATCGCGAGGTCATTGGTACGGAGTTTGGATGTTCATCATCCGAGCAGCGAACACGATGTGGGTCATGGGCTGTCATGGGGGGCCTGTCATTTAGATCGATTGCGGGCAGCGGCGACACTGCCAACTGGAGTATAAACTGCTGCAAAGGGTGACCATGCTCTTTATCTGCGTGGGCTTAGGCCTGATTCTCGCCACATCTTACAAAACTTGATCGCCAGCGAGGACCATTTTGGGGAATGCGACTCGGCGCGAGTGCGGCTGGCAAGGGAGGTAGGCGGCTTCAAGTTGCGAGTCCGGCGTTGGCCGTCTGGACTCTGGCGGCTGGCAGAATTCCACCTCATTTCAAGCCAGTGGGTGCCGTCTGGAGGCTGACTGTTTGCTGATACCAAATACCATCTCTGGCAGGACATTCCCTTTGTACCTTTTCAGCGAGCGCACGCGGCTGGCCAGGGCGGTGGCTGACAATTGAAATATTGACAAGCCAGGCGTCAAGGAGGCGGCCTGAGGCGGCGACCGACGATAGTGTACACGTGTACAGTAAGTATACCAGAGCATAATATATAGTATACCTTGGCCGGATGAATACATCGTTGGATCGTGAAGCAAAATAATTAAAAGGTCAAAAAGCATGTCGCATGCAGGATTCGAGCCTGCGTTACCACCGAGCTGAGGATTCAATTGAATGAATCGGACCACAAGGAGGAGTACTAACCACTATACTAATACGACGTGTGATTCGTCTGCATCCGAGTGCATTATGTTGGCAACAGCAGCAGCTGGAAATTGCATGGCCTTGCCATCTCGACCGAGGCCGACTGCAATAATTAGTGTTAGTATTACACATGCCAATGAATCAATCGTGGTTGGTTGGATCGTGAGGTAAAAAAATCAAAAGGGCAAAAAACATGTCGCATGCAGGATTCGAGCCTGCGTTACCACCGAGCTGAGGACTCAATTGAATGAATCGGACCACAAGGAGGAGTACTAACCACTATACTAATACGACTTGTGATGTTGCTCCGTTTATGTATGCTAGTATGAGCAATCACGATAGACGCTCGGCCATCACGTCCTTTGGGCTGGCCGCGCACCTTTCCTGCCATGAACGGTCAACCACCACCGTACCAGGAATGAAGGATCGCTAGAGCGATCATACACGGTACCGAAGACCAGCCCGGCTTCGTTTAGTCGAGGACTGAACTTACTAACATCCCTTAACGATAGCCATTGTGCCTTCGCTTAAACGGTTCGACTGACGCCGTGCAGACGTCCCCTACTTTCTATGTCTTTCGGCCTACTCAAAAGTCCCTTCCCCTATGTAACAACGGAAACGGATAGCTCTGCAGCTGCTTTTATCGAGTTGTACTTCCATCTTAGGCTCCACTTCGTAAAATCGGATCGGGGACGGTCCGAGTGTATCAGCCTTCCAACTTCGAATCTTCCCAGATTGCAAACCTATCGAGCTCGAGCAGCAACTCACATTACAGACCGTTTACTGATTAAAGTGACCAGTCATTTTCTTCCGTTTACGCATTATATTGCCCCTCTGAGTGGCCCCTGGCAACCTTGACCGGTAAATGCGGGAAGCTCGGATTGTTATTCGGGACCTCTTAGGTCACTGCCTCGTAAAGTGCCTAACGCCAGGACCACCTTCTTCGCTCACTTTCACTCGACTCAAAGACTCGACACTCCCACTTACCGGGCCTATTGCTCAACATGCCTGCTAGCTGTTACCGTTGGTCCACCGTCACGCAAACGTGTTCTCAACCGCGACAAGCGGCGCAGCCAAGTTCAAACGCGTAAAAGTTACGATTAGAACGCTCCTGCTATTGAGACCTTGCGCTCGTGTATCGTGGTATTTACAAGTCACTTTTTAATAGATAAAAAACTCCCGATCTGTCGGGCCGGTAAATACTCTGCTAGGCTCCACTTAACTGGCTGGCTGAGAGGAGGGCACGACTAACGTCACAAACGCGGTAACGAGAGTACCATCAGACCCATAATACAAACGTTTCCGGGTGGACGGTAAGATAGCCTAAGAATACAATTTAGTCGATTGCCTAGTACATGTCCTTCACGGTGCTTGCTAATTTCGCAGCGTATGAATACCTCATAACCTCAAGCGTTGTTTTGCGCACTACCGTTACTTAGAGGACGTACACTTCGTTATATAGTTTTACTTCAACCGCTATATATCTCTATGATATCGTACCGTCCTTAGATTTTTCTCAAATGAGTTCTTTGTTGGTTCTCGCGAATGTCCATTCTGAGCTCTGCCTGTAACTGGTCGGGCCTTCGTTCTCTACATACACAATGCTGAGTGGCCGTGTCTCGTGTGTCCGCCTTCGTCATTTTAGCCAATTGTTTCTTGCAGGTTTCAGTCGATAGCAGTTTTGTAGTTTTTAACGGATACTATGTCAATTTGGCTCCGTCTATACCATTAGTAACACATGTTCAAGTAGTCCTGACGGACTGTTGTAGTAGCATTGCTTATGACATCGGCGTGACTTGCTTGAACTTGTACGGTTCTCCATCTTGAGATTTGTAGTACCATTAGTTCGTGGGTGTAAGTCTCCGCACGCGTTGTCCGTGACAAATCGTTACAGGGTGTCGTGACGGGTAGAACCGTTACGTACTTGCTAGCGCGGCAACGACTCTCGCTCAACTCGCTTTTCACTTGTTTCATTGGTAAACTTGTCGACCACGTCGACAGCGTTGGTTCAGTTGCTTGGTCTTGCGGGTGCGATTCAGTTCGTTCGAATGGTGCAACGCAGTGTACGTTAGAATGTCACTGAGTAGTCCTCGCTTAGGCGGTCCGTCTACAGTGTACTTGACTGTGAGTCTCTTTTTCGTTAATTGTTACGCTGTCTGGTACCGTGTGAGTCCCCTTGGTTCTTGTGTTTTTGTATGTATACTATAAATGATACGCCGGGGCGTAATGGATACCCTTATCGGACTTCCGCTCCCCCGGCTGCCCCCCATGCGCAGATCAGTTTTCGCAGTCTTTTGTACATGTGTACGTGAGTGTTTTGACCTACGTCTTTGAGTGTTTTGGTGGGGCGCCCGGACAACTGGTGTCACCAATATTTGAGCTCTACCCGGTCGGGACTCCCCTCTATGTGTGGTCAGTCCGTTACTTCTTCGCTCTCGTTTTTGTTTGCGTTGTATGGTTACAGGAGATTAACGAAGAAGCTCTATAGCCATTAGAGTAGGACAAATATGACTGCGTCCAGACCGTACCGACAGCCGGTAAGCAGGCCCGGAACGGTAGCAACTTGCTTATGACACCGGTTGTTCAAATTGCTCGGCAGCCCATCTCAAGATAGTAGGTCGCTGTACCCCGCGCGGAAGGCGCGAAGCCCTCAGCTGTAGTTCGTCTTGCAGTAGACGCCTAGCACACACCACATCAAGGCACTCTATAAATCCGAACGCAGTTTCTAAAGCACAAGAAACCACCCTAGTTTGAAGAAGCCGTTAAGGCCATCACACATCGCCCCGTATCTAAAGCAGAAGCTAGAAAACGGGATACCGATGATGCGCCCGAACCCCCTACTTCTTCGGTGGTTATGCCATCTTGCCGTACCGGACCCTATATATCACGATACGCTATCGTGCGCAGTCGAGCCATCCGTACAGGATCTAAGTTTGAATGTTATCCTCCTGAAACTTTTCTTCTTCTTAATCTCGCTACCCACACTGAAGTTCGCATCGGATACGTCACAAAGTTACACCAAGCCTTGTTTCCCGCGCGACCGTCGCGTAAAGCATACACTACGGTTATATAGAGTCATGCGCTATTGCCCGGCCGGCAACACCGACGGAACCTAGCTGGGAACGACCTAAGGAGGGAGAGTTCAGCAGAAGGTCACTAGCTCTCTACTTGGCCACGGACCCAAGCATCTATTTGGGCGGGCAACTTTACACCTTGCGGTGTCAGGGCGCCCAGCAGGTTGAACGTTAACATTCAAGGGTGGTGAAGAACTAAGAGTTAGACCGTCGATATTGTTCTCCTGCTCCCACGCGCACTGTGCACGACGGCAGCATGGCCATGCCTACTCCCACGGTACGCTCACGCAACCTTGAGTCACGCACGCGTCTAACTCGAACTCGCGGGTAGCAGGTCTGCCTTCTACAGCTCCGAGTATTATGGCCTACACCAGTGGCTATCGCCACCAGTGACACCCAATAAAGGCTTCAAGAGATAACCGTTTTCTCTTAAGTTTATATTGGGTGTTATAACGTCAGGGGAGGGGTATGAGGTATGGGGTATGGTTCTTAGGCTCGGTTCAGCGCGGGACTATGGTGACGGTTCACGGTTGGTTCAAAGTTAACGGGTGACGTGGCTATAGCATCTATAGCTAGAGCCGGAATCCCACACCACGTACTCACAACGCGCGGTCTCGGGACTAGTGTAAAGTTTTGCGTACTCGGCATAGTGCGCAGTGCCGAGTCCTAGATCCATCCGCTAACCTCCCCCACGGTCAGTCGGGACGCGGCTAAGCAACCGCAACCGTCTGCTGATCAAGTCTCAAGTCTTGCAAGTCTCAGGTCCGCCTTCCTGCGGTTATAATTACTACCG